AAAAGCGAAAAAAGAAAAAAGACTAAAGTCTCCCGAAGTTTTGGTTTCCCTTCCCAGAGGGCAGACAGCCTCTGCCCTCGACAGACACAACCATCCCCTCCTCTCTTGCCCTCCGCCCACAGAGTGAGCTTGGTCTGGTGGGGGTGGGTGGGGAGTGGAGGCTTGGAAGGGGGCGGAGGGGATGGCATCCAGTTGCTTAGCAACACCATGCACCCGGCGGCGGGTTGCTGGCCTCCTCTTCAAGCTAAAAGCAAAGTCGTGTCCATTAATTCCCAGCTGCCCTGAACCTCTTAGAGGTTTGTCGGCTTCCCTACTGTGCATGTTTTCCTCTTCCTCGGGGGATGCAGAGCAGGTCCGCTCCTGTGGTCTGTTTATCACACTGCAGTGGGCAGGGGGAGAGGGGGGATGGACGGAGACAGAGAAAGGGAAGTGGTGGGGGACCCTCCTTGCGCTATCTGGAAGCGTCTAGATTCGGAGCGGCGTATCTGCACAGTTCAGTTTGACGAGCCGACGTGGCTTTCCTAGGCCGTGAGGCTTCTGTTGAGACGTGGCAAGGGTCACGGTTCTCCCTGAGACCTCCCAGGGGAGAAATAGCCAAGCGCGTCAACTGGCCACCCTGAGGGGCCCATCGTGTGGGGGCCCAGCAGGGCTGACTGAATGCATTGTTCTGTGATCCGTGCCCCCATACTTGTGGGGTGGGAGGGAATTATGTGGTTGGGGTGGCCATGCCGATTTTGTGTATTCCTTGGAACTGCAGTTTTGTGCCCAGAAACTCAGGTTCTCCTGAGCCCTCTTTTGCACCTCCAGGAAGTGTCGGTGGCCTTCTTGTGAAGGGCAGTCGCCCAACCCTCCCCAGCGGGTTCGTGCCTGGTGAGCCCACCCAGGGGAGGACAAGAATAGGAAGGTGCTGGGCCACATGTGGGCAGGCGGGCAAAAGGGATGGGCGGGCCTTTGCCCACTGCACTTTCTCTACTTCCGGCCTGCCCCGACTGGAAAAGTGTCATGGGCTTCATCTGAGATCTGCCCAGACTGTGGCATTGTCTTCCTCAGAGGAGCCTGGGAGATGCCTATGCACACACACACACACACACACACACACACACACACAGAAAAACATATGCACAAATGCCCAGAGGTCAGACACAGATACAGAAGCACAGATACACAGACTCACACAGACACCTCCCTCCCCCCCACACACACAAATACATATACACAGATACACAGTTTCACAGAGACACCTGCCCCCCACACAAACACACATATATACACAGATACAGAAACACAGATACACAGACTCACACAGACACCCGCCCACACACACAGAAACACAGACACACACATTGGCAAAAACATTGATACACACAAGATCCACACATTGACACACACAGGAACACACACAGACCCACACATTAATACAGACCCACATATTGGCACAGACCCGTACATGGTACAGATACACACACTGACAGACACACACTTTGGCACAGACACATTGGTACAAATCCACATTTACACAGACACACATAGATACCAACACACATTGGCACAGACACATACATAGACATAGACACACACATAGACACAGACACACATTGACACAGACACACATTGACACAGACACACAGTGACACAGACACACAGTGACACAGACACACACATTGACACAGACACACATAGATACAGATACACACAGTAGCACAGACACACATAGATACAGACACAGTGGCACAGATACACATAGGCACAAACACACATATACACAGACACACATTCACACAGACACACACATTGACACAGACACACACACTGACACAGACACACACATTGACACAGAAACACATATAGATACAGACACACATTGATACACATTGGCACAGACACACACAGTGGCACAGATACACATTGGCACAAACACACATAGACACAGACACACATTGACACAGACACACACATTCAAACAGACACACACACTGACACAGACACACACATTGACACAGAAACACATATAGATACAGACACACATTGATACACATTGGCACAGACACACATAGATACAGACACACATAGACACAGACACACATTGACACAGACACACACATAGACACAGATACACATAGAAACAGACACACGCATTGGCACATACACACATTGGTGTGACATACTGCTACGTGCCACATGCGGTTTCTTGTCCTCCTTGGGGCCTTGGCAGGAGAGAGCCTGGACACCTATGGGAACCTGAGACCTTGTGCAGGGTCCCTGCAGGAGGCTGTAGATAGGTGTCCCCTCCTGTCTGGGCCCCACGTCCCCTCACCATGGCTACCCCACTCTTGGGGTGATTCCAAAGCAGAGGCAGCGGCTGGAGTGATAGCACAGTGTGTAGGGAGTTTGCCTTGCATGTAGCTGACCCAGGTTCGATTCCCAGCATCCCATAGGGCCCCCCGGGCACCGCCAGGAGTCATTCCTGAGTGCATGAGCCAGGAGTAACCCCTGTGCATCTCTGGGTGTGAGAGGCAGCTGGAGACACGGAGGCAGGAGCTAGAATTCCAGAGTGGTGATTCAGGGGGGCGACTTTTGGGGAGACCCAGTGGGGTGGAGATGCAGCCTGACAAATGGCTATTCAGGGGGAGCATTTAAAGAGAGGGAAGGAGGGGCTGGGGCGATTTCACAGCAGGGAGGGTGTTTGCCTTGCACACGGTCGACCCAGGTTCAATCCCCGGCATCCCAAAGGGTCCCCCAAGCAAACACCGCCAGAAGTAATTCCTGAGCACAGAGCCAGGAGTAACCCCTGAGCATCGCTGGGTGTGACTCAAAAATTATAATAATAATAATAAAGAGAGGAAGGGAAAGGAATCTGGGGTCTGCGTGTGCTGGTGAGTGTGAGGAGAAGGTGGGCATTAGGGTGTGTCTCCCCTTGTCTCTACTGGGCTATTAAAGTAGAGCTGACAGAGAAACCTCTGCTGGAGCGGGCGGGTTCTGGGGCAAGACTAGCAGCCTCTCCTTACACGCAGCCCACCTGGGTTCGATCCCCAACACCCCATGGGGCCCCCCGATCACCCCTGAGCACAGAACTGGGAGCAAGCCCTGAGCACTGCTTGGGTGTGGCTTGAAAACCAAAGTAAAATTGAAATCAACAGATTAGGAATCCGGGGGTGCGAGTCAGTTAGGTGACGGGGCTGCCTGCTCCCTCCTGGGCTTCTTTCCCCTCGTCGGGAAGGTGGCGGTGAAGGAGGGTCCAGCGTGCAGTGTAAGGGGGCGGGGGGTCCCGTCTCGCTATAGTTCCTCCTGCCCTCCTCCCCGACCCCTCTTCCCAAGCCAGGCACCCCTGATCATACACACCCCACAAGGGGGAACTCCAGGGGGAACTCCAGGGGCTGGAGCCATAGCACAGCAGGGAAGGTGTTTGCCTTGCACGTGGCCGACCCAGGTTCGATTCCCAGCATCCCACGGGGTCCCCCGAACATCGCCAAGGGGTAATTCCTGAGTGCAGAGCCAGGAGTGACCCCTGTGCATCACCGGGTGTGACCCAAAAAGCCAAATAAATAAATAAATAAATAAAGTATACCTTTTTTTAAAAAAAAAGAAAAAAGGAAACTCTAAGTTAAGAGTTTCTTGGGCCAGCCGGGCCCCGCCCCAAGCATGGCCCTGTCCGTCCATCTGCCCATCCCTGCCTCCATTCCTTCCATCCCCATCATCCCGGCTCCAGCCATGACCTCACATCCCTCTGTATTGTCGAGCCAGTGGCAACCCCAAGGGGTTCTGCTGCAAACGAAGTGGGGTCACATCTCCCCTGATATAGGGAAGTGGGGGGTGGAGGGGAGACAGGAGGGTACCCACACCAGCACTCAGAGCAGGCCCAGGATGCAGGGACCACCATCCTGCATCCTTTGCTTCCCCACAAACACCTCTGGCAAAATCTCCTTTATAAGCATCCGCCATCTTCGATGATAAATAAGGGACCGTAAGGGGCCAGGGAGAAAGTTCAAAAGGCAGAGGCATTGCAGGCGGCAAGTCTGGGCTGGATCTCACGGGCATCCCTGAGGGAGACCCCCCACCCCCACCCCATCCTGAGCCAAGAGCCAGGAGCAGCCTCCAAGCATTGCCGGGGATGGTTGGGGGGGGGGACTTCAAATGGTAACAAAACACCCCACGAATGTGTTGCCTCATTCCAGATGCGTGTGTGTGTGTGTTCAGACCGCAAGTCCCCAAAACCCTGGTGGATCAAGAAGCCCCCCAATTGGGGCTGGAGCAATAGTACAGTGGGTTGGGTGTTTGCCTTGTACGTGGTCAACACGGGTTCGATTCCTTGGGTCCCCCAAGCACCGCCAGGAGTAATTCCTGAATGCAGAGCTAGGAGGAACCCCTGTGCATCGCCGGGTGTGACCCCAAAAAGCAAAAAAATAATAATAATAAAGCTCCCAATTGTGTCTGTGATTTGTAGTAGCCCAGGAAACCCATCCGCATTCACCCCACCCCCACCCCAAGACCACTTCATCTCCATCTAGTGCTCTTCCCCTTCAGTGTGGAGCGTTTCCTGCGTCTGGGGTTCATAGGAATTTTTCTCTCTCTGGCCGAAGACGGTCCGTCCTTCTCCCCCCCCCCCCCCCGCCCCCACTTAAAAAAAAAAAGGGAACAGGATGGACGGCTTGGAGGTAGCCTCCACCTCCTGGCCCTGTGGCCTTGTAGGCTAGGAGCTGCTTTAGTTTTCTGGACTATCCCCCAAGGGGGAAGGTGGCCTCAGACCCCCCCCTTCACACAGGTCAGTGTCGCCGGGGCTCCCCTTGCATCCGGGAACCTGCCTCCTTCCCCCCAACTCTGTCTTGCTCCCGCATGCCGTGTGCCTCGCTCCCTCCTCCGGCTGCTTGTCCCAAGACCCCCACCACCGGCCCCCACCCCCGGGGCTTGCCCCCAACTCCCCCCGCATGGCTGTCGCCCCGCCCGCAGCCCTCACGGTCCCTCCTCCTCCTCCTCCTCCTCATCCTCTCTGTTTCTCCAAGCAGATGGCTGTCCCGATCTGTGCAGCGGCAACGGGAGATGCACCCTGGGTCCGAGCAGCTGGCAGTGTGTGTGCCAGACTGGCTGGAGGGGGCCCGGATGCAACGTCGCCATGGAAACCGCCTGCGCCGACAACAAGGATAACGAAGGAGGTGAGCGGGTGGCCCGCGTCGTGCGGGCGGGCGGGGCGTCGTGGGCTCCTCCGCGCGCGTCCTTTGTCCACTTCTTGACAGTGTGGTCGAGTGGCAGGGAGTGGTGGGACTTGGAGAGCTCCTAACAACCTGGACTGCATGTCCAGGGTTGGCTTTTGCATCTCCAAAATGTGTCACCAGGGGAGGGCGACCAGACCTTGATGGTTCTTTTGGGTGGCCAGGCCAGCAGAGTGACCAGGTCACTCCCAGCCCCCTCCTGAAGGACCTCGGGAAGCTGGAAGTGACTGACACATCTCTGACTGTGAGTGGCAGCCTCTGGCCCCCACTGGCCTCAGACCTCGTCGGCAAGGCAGTTGGGCTGTTTCTAAGAGGTTACTTTCCAGGGACATCTCACCCGCACGGCAGAGCCTGGCAAGCCCCCCGTGACGTATTTGATATGCCAGACACAGTAACAACAAAGTCTCCAATGGAGACGTTACTGGGCCCACTCGAGCAATCGATGATCAACGGGAGAGCCTTTACCTTTACCTTTACTTTCCAGGGAGGGGTTGGAGCACTTCATTGGTGGGCCAAAGTTTGACCATGGGTTGACAGCGGGAACCAAATATGACCCCCTGCCAAGCACTGCCCACAGAGTGAGCACAGAGCCAGGGATAGTCAGGGAGCAGCAACGTGATGGTATAAGGATAATGCGACCCCCAGCCCCCCACCTCAGTGGTGAACTCGGGACTCTCCCCAATGGCTGGTACTTGGGCAACCAAAGTCAGATCTAGCCTCTGCCTCTTCTTATCCACACCGCTTCTTCTGGCAAGCTCAAGAGGGTCTCCCCCTTTAGAAAAAAAAAAATCCAGGGAAGACTAACTGTCCTGTGCCGTGTGAGAAAGGCGTGGGCCTGGGGTCCCTCTGCTCCTCTCCGATGCCTCATGGTTGTGTAGTGGACCTAGTGTCCACGGCTGAGTTAGTTGCTGGGCAGAGACCAGCGGGGGCCAGAGCTCCAGGGTCCCAACTCTCAAACTCTTTGGGACCAGAGCGATAGCGCAGGCAAGTACGGTGTTTGTCAGATCCCATCCCCGGCACCCCAAATGATCCCCCCACCCCGAGTATGGCCAGAGTGGTCCCTGAGTACACAGCCAGGAATAAACCCTGAGCACCACTGGATGTAGCCCTCCCCCCCCAAAAAAAAAAAATAATAATCTACTTTCTTTTTGTAAGGAAAGTGGTTGGGGGCTGGAAACCTAAGATTGAGTTGAAGGCACACGCTCTTCTTGCAGGTGACCTGGGCCCCATCCCCAGCACATGGTTCCCTGAGCACTGTGGGGAGGGGATCCCTGGAGGGTTCCCACATAAACACTACTCGGTTTGGCCGCCAAGGTGCCAGACCATTGGGGTGGTCCAGGTAACCCCCCAAACCTCAGGCACTGAATCCCTAACCTAGTTGACTGATAACCACAGAGTGGGATCCCAATTCCCACCCCTGGGGGTCTTCCGAGCACAACTAAAAGATTCCTCCACAAAAAAAAAAAAAGAAGACATAGAAATAATTTTTTTTTTGGCTAAGGGCTGGAGCAATAGTACAGTGAATAGGGCATTTGCCTTGCACACGTCTGACCCGGGTTCGATCCCCAGCATCCCGTATGGTCCTCTGAGCACCGCCGGGGTAATTCCTGAGTACAGAGCCAGGAGTAACCTCTGTGCATCACTGGGTGTGACCCAAAAAGAAAAAAAAATTTTTTTTTGGCTAGCCCCTGCCCTAAACTTTCAAGATGAGTCTCCTGAGGTTGTTCTTACCTGATGGTGAGAATTCAGGGGCTCAGGGGGTGCTGGGCACGAGAGGCCACCTGATTTCCTAACAACCAGTGATGCCCCCTGACTTCCTAAGAACAACCAGTGATGCCCCCAAGTGTTGATACCGCCAGTCTTGGGGTCCCTCCCTAGTGGACAGAATTCACTCCCTGGGTGGGAGAAGGACTTTCAGCACCTAAAGGCTTGGGGGTGCTGGGTTATGGAGACAGGAGTAGCTACAGACCCAGGGCTTGAGGAAAGTCAGCTTGGGACCCTCAGAGGAGAGTTTCAGGAGACCTCCCACCCATCAGGGTAATGATGGAGCGTGTTAAGTCATTCCATTTGGGGTGTGTGTCCTCATGCTCTTCGGAGACATTATGCAGTTCCCGCCACCAGTCATGGGATGTTTCTTCGGTAATGAAACGAGGGCATGTGCATTGGTCCGAGTACAACACACGAACCCCAGAAAGGCTCCAGGCCAGAAGTCACCCACAGAGTGAGTCCCCACGCGTTGATTTACTTTCTGGAAACAGAGATGAAACAGAAGCCGCTTTGCTTGCTTGTTTGTTTCAACAAAGTGAGACGTAACAACACAAAGTGTGTGTGTGTGTGTGTTGTGACTTAGGGGACCCTATGGGGTGCTGAGGATCGAACCCGGGTAGTGTGTGGGGGGGGGATATGAGAGAGAGACAGAGAGAGAGAGAGAGAGAGTTAAGAAACAGAAAGAGGGGGCCGGAGCGATAGCACAGCAGGTAGGGTGTTTGCCTCACATACAGCCTACCTGGGTTCGATCCCCGGCATCCCATATGGTCCCCCAAGCACCGCCACAAGTAATTCCTGAGTACAGAGCCAGGAAAAACCCCTGAGCATCTCTGGGTGTGACCCAAAAAGCAAAAAAAAAAAAAAAAAAAAGAAAGAAGAAAGAAAGAAACAGAAAGAGAGAGAGATTTAAGAGAGAGGGGTCTGGAGTGATAGCACAGCAAGCGGGAAGGGCATTTGCCTTGCATGCGGCCAACCTGAGTTCGATTCCCAGCATCCCATATGGTCCCCTGAGTGCATGAGCCACGAGTAACCCCTGTGCATCGCCGGGTATGACCCAAAAAGAAAAGAGAGAGAGAGAGAGAGAGAGAGAGAGAGAGAGAGAGAAGAGAGTGAAGAGTTAAGAGAGAGTCAAGATTGCACTCCTTCCTGGAAAGCTTCCCCATTTGGGCCTCCAGTGATCTCACCCAGGGAATGGATTGCTCAGGGAATCCGATTCTCTGGTTTCCAGAAAGCAGCGGAGACCTCCCGCCCTGCCCTCTGGCAGGAAGTGAGCACTTCTCAACCCACAGCGAATGAAGGAAATGCTCCCCAGAAAAGGGTGGGGGTCAGTACTCCCCCACCAGGCAGAAGGCTCATTCCTGAGCCTGGGCACTGCCCAAGGGCACCCCCCCAACACATACACATACACACATACACACACACACCCCTCTGAGCAGGGTCCCTCCCTTGGCAGGCAGTGCCTCCGTGGAGAGAGTCCGGGTACAAAAGCAAATGAGGCAGTGATTATGCTAAAGACAATAATGGCCTTGTTATGGGAACTATTAAAGCGAACCTCCCAAGGAAGTAATTAACCACCCAGAAGAAAAGACTGTGCCTAGTGGTGTTTATAAAAAGAAACTCCCAGTTAATTCCGAGTTGCTTATGTCAGGTGAGAGAGAGGTAGACACCATTTCTCTCTCACCTGGCATAAGTGCTTCACAATTAGCTGTGTTGCTTTTTTGGGGGGGAGAGGGGGGAGGGGGAGGGAGATTCCTCAGTGTGGAGATCCTTTGTATGGCTAATGACTTCCCTAGGAAGTGTGCTAAGCACTTTGCTGTTTATTGATAAATATTAAAGTTGCTCCTCATCAAGTCCGGGCCCAACCAGCAGCATGCTAGTTAGATCACTGTGTGTGTGTGTGTGTGTGTGTGAGTGAATGTGTGTATATGAGTGTGTGCATGTGTGAGTGTGTGTAAGTGTGCGTATGTGAATGTGTGTGAGTATGTATGAGATGTGTGTGAGTGTGTATATGAGTATGTGAGTGTGTATGTGTGTGTGAGTGTGTGTATGAAGTGTGTGTATGTGTGTATGTGTGTATGCGTGTGTGTACATGTGAGTGTATATGATGTGTATATATGTGAGAGTGTATGTATGAGTCTGTGTGAGTGTGTATATGAGTGTGTGTGAGTGTGTGTTTGTGAATATGTATGAGTGTGTGAGAATGTGTGTTTGTGAATATGTCTGTATGAGTGTGTGAGAATGTGTGTTTGTGAATGTCTGTGTGAGTGTGTGAATGTGTGTGAGTGTGTATGAGATGTGTGTGAGTGTGTGTACGAGTGTGTGTGTATGAGTGTGTGACTGAATGTGTATGAGTGTGTGTATGTGTGTGTATGTGATGTGTGTATGTGTGTGAGTATATGAGTGTGTGTGAGTATGTATATGATGTGTGTATGTGTGAGAGTGTATGTATATGAGTGTGTATATGAGTGTGTGTGAGTGTGTGTTTGTGAATATGTCTGAGTGTGTGAGAATGTGTGTTTGTGAATGTCTGTGTGAGAGTGTGTGAGTGTGTGAATGTGTGTGTGTATGAGATGTGTGTGAGTGTGTGTACGAGTGTGTATATGTGAGTGTGTGTATATGAGTGTGTGACTGTATGAATGTGTATGAGTGTGTGTATGTGTGTGTATGTGTGTGAGTATATGAGTGTGTGTGAGTGTGTGTTTGTGAATATGTCTGTGTGAGTGTGTGAGAATGTGTGTTTGTGAATGTCTGTGTGAGTGTGTGTGAGTGTGTGTGAGTGTGTGTGTGAGACTGCTTGGTTTTTGAGTGAGGTGGCCATTGAATCCAGCCTAGCATTGGCGGTTCCGAGGGTCTCCAGACCTGGGCAGGAGGGAGGTGCCCGCCCAGGGAGCAGGTGCAGTGAGCACCCGAGTAATAAACGTCTCGAATGGGGAAGATAATAGAGCATTCTGCCTAAGTGGGTCCCCAGAAAACCAATCATTCTTCCATCACGGAATGCTCTGTGTTAAAAAACCAAACAAACACACAGCAGTTTAAAGCGGTGATTTTTTTTTTTAAAGTGAGACCAAATTTGATACAGAAACAGGAAATAGGCAAAGCCCTTAAAGCTTTTTATTTTAGGGCCACCCCAAGTGGTGCTCAGGGTTTACTCCTTGTCCTGTGCTCGGGGGGTCACT